AGGATTAGGCAGCACGCCACTAGTGCCGACACAGGAATGACGCGAAGAAGGAGGAGGTTGGTGGTGAGAGAGGAGGAGGAGGAAGCGAAGGAGGAGGAGGAGGAGGAGGAGGGAGAGGGAAGGAGGAGGAAGAGGAGGAGTAAGAAGAGGAAGTAGGAAGAGGAGGGGAAGAGGAGGAGTAGGAAGAGGGGAGGAAGAGGAAAAGGAGGAAAGAGGAGGAAGAGGAGGAAGAAGGAAGAGGATGGAAGAAGAGGAGACATGAGAGTTACCACCACCACTACGTCAGACATAGAATCGGCGATATGATACATAAATTAAACGTGTGTCAGCCGTAGCTTCTAGAATAAGGCACAGCGCACAACGCACGCATCGAAATAATCCCAATGATGCACGCTAGATAACAATAACCATATTCAAATATAATATATATATAACACATATATTCATTATATTATGTATTATAACTACAATAGATTTATAATTTATAATACATTTCAATAATAATTAATTATACGACAACTAACTTGGAACGTTGAGGTTATTTCGATGGTGCGTGTACGCGTGCCTATTCTAGAAGCTACGGCTGACACAGGTTTAATTGTGTATCATATCACGATTCTGTGTCTGAGTAGTGGTGTGGTGCTAACTCATGTCTCCTCCTCCTCCTCCTCCTCCTCCTCTTCCTCCTCTTTCTCCTCCTCCTCCTCCTCTTCCTCTTCCTCCTCTTCCTCCTCCTCCTCTTCCTGTTCCTCCTCTTCCTCCTCTTTCTCCTCCTCTTCTTACTCCTCCTCTTCCTCCTCCTCCTCCTCCTCCTCCTCCTCCTCTTCACATTCTGTGTCGGACTAGTGGCTTGCTGCTAACTCTCGTTTACTCTTCCTCTTCCTCCTCTACAGATGGGCTCGTCGGGAGACTGGGGCGAACGAGCAAACCGTGACCTCAAGCACACGAAGGGGAAGTCGTTCAGACACGAGAAGACGAAGAAGAAGCGAGGATCGTACCGAGGCGGCACCATCAGCACGCAAGTCAACTCGATACGATACGACGACTAACCGTCGCCACGGCGACCGTCGAGACAATCGCGCGTCGGCCGGTTGGCGCAGCCGCGCTAGCTCCGAGAAGCGTCGCCGCGCGCGATCGATTGCGCGATCGATGCTGGGTGGAGGTCGGATGGTTGGTGCCGGAGTCGGGATGTGAGGGGATCTAGGATGCGATGAGGGTGTCGCGCGGGGGCAAGGGGCTAAATATAACAAGGAGAGGAAGCGGATTGGCTGTGTGCTTTTCGCCTCACGGACGCCATCTTTGGACCATAATCAGCTGAGACGGCTGTGCAGTGCGAACCCAGAGACAATAGAACACTAATCTGTTCTAGGCCTATAATGACCAAATATGCAACGAAGATTTGGGCTAGATGTGGCGGCGCTTCCTCTCCTTGTTATATTTAGCTCCTTGGCGCGGGGGGGATTGTTATAGAGTCTCGGGTGGGAAGTGGCGGGTGTTCGCGTTTTTGCGGTTTCTGTAATGAAAGTGTACCTCTCCCTCTTCCTCCTCCCTTCCCCTTATCTTCTCCTGACTGCCTCTCTCCCCTTGCTCTCTCATTCCATTCCTCTTTCCTTTCCTTCCCCTTTTTTGTTTCTTGCCTTTCCCCTTTTTCCTTCCCTCTCCCCTCCTTCTGTCTCTCTTTCTCTCCCTCTCTTTCTCTCCCTCTCTCTCTCCCTCTCCCTCTCTCTCTCTCTCTCTCTCTCTCTCGCTCGCTCTCTTGCCTCACATTCTGTATATTTCTCTCGCTACTGTGTAAGTGTACATTACGCGCATATAAATCTGGGACGGATCCTCATTTACATCATGTTAAGTTCGCGTTCTCGTTAATACAGTGTTAATTAGTAGTTTGCCCCCTAATTATCGCGTTAATTATCTGTTTCTGTTTCCCGCCTTCGTCCGGCGGGCGGGCGTTCCGATGCACTGTATCAAAGCTGTCCTGGTGTTTACTCTCGCGGAAAAGAATCCCGAGTGTTCGGACGTGTTCACTTGGTTGGTGACATTGTAGGCGCCGACAGTTCGCGTGTCAACAGGTGGCGTGGCTAGGTCCGGTAGCATCCCTTGCGCCAGCAGGGGGCGCCGGCCGCGTGGGCTGATAATTCTAGATGTGCGCGGAGCCTTCGACTATTTTACTGCACATCATGACGTTGTTGTAAGTCTTGAAATTCGTGTTTTTTGAAATAAATATACGTTTGCGTACGATAGACAATGCCAAGCCCTGGAGAGTTTCTGATCGTTTCTGCTCCTTAATTCTCTTCTTACGTTAGACGATTATTTTCGTTTGTTAACATTTCTTCCCGGAGGAAAGGAAAGAGAGGGAGATCTATAGAAAATAATTAAGGCCAACGAATTACTTCACAAGTTTTTAGTAGTTGTTTGCTGTGTGAAAATCAAGTTGCGATAAAAGAATTCCACATACAATCAACAATTAAAATGAGTTAATTATAATGATCATAATTATTCCATTGTAAACACGTAAATATCGCGTAAATATTGCTTTTCAAATCGTCGTAGTTTTCAGTAAAAGGTAATGTGCTAGGACACTACTTTGCCGTGAACCACTGGTAGCCGGCCAAGCCACTGGTGCGGGGATAGAACACGGGACGGCGCTACCCACAGGTCTAACGGGCGCCCTCAGTATGGAAAAACGACATGTTCCTTATATACCAGAGAAATGGCAATTTATACAATATTTCAGCAAAGAAATTACCGAGATTCGAACCAGCAACCTTCATGGCTTGCAGCATAGCTCTTAACCACTATGCCATCCACGCATTCGTAATATTCTTTGCATACATGTCTGCAATACGTTTACCTATACACAAGTTACAAAGCCACTCTCCGTTTCTTCCTCTTCCTCACTTCCTTACTCCCCTCTCGCGGATGGTATCGCCCATGACCAGTCAAGCATGGAAAAACATTTGCAGGAAATTGGCTGCATTTCGGCTCCAACTTTTTCACTCCCCGAGGCATAAAATGTGAATTTACGCCTATAATACACGCGCACGCGTGCGTGCGACCACGCCCGCGTGTGCGCACCCATTGGTGGGTGTGTATGTGTGTGTTTGTGACTGTAAAAACGCGTATTATAGCCGTAAATCCACAGCGTATTATAGCCGTAAATCCACTTTTTATGCTTTGGTGGGGTGAAAAAGTTCCACCTGAAATACTGACATTTTCCTCGTGAAGATTTTTCACGCTTGACTGGTCGTGGGCGATACTATCCGCGAGAGGGGGAGGCAAATATTGAGGGGAAGAGAGTGAGAGGGGAGAAGGAAGGGAAGAGGAGAGCCAAGGCGGGAGGGACGAAGGGAGGGAGTAACCGTGCAATCTCGCGTTTTACTTGTACGTCTACAGTATTTATAATATTGAGTCTATAATATTGTCAGGAGTCTATCAATATTGATAGAGTCTATCAATATTGATAGACTCCTGATATTGTGATAGTCTATCAATATTGATAGACTCCTGATATTGTGATTAGTAAGTCCACGAGCATGCGCAGTTGCATGCGCGTTCGTCATGTGGTTTATAATAAATCAACGTTAACTAAATTTGAGATGGTTCTCATTTATATGATGTGTATCTGAAAGCTGCAACACAATATTCATTTCTAAATCGTCGTAGTTTTCAGTAAAAGGTAATGTGCTAAGACACTATACTTTGCCGTGAACTACTGGTGGCCGGCCAAGCCACTGGTGCGGGGATAGAACACGGGACGACGCTACCCACAGGGCTAACGGGCGCCCTCAGTAGCCTATGGAAAAACCGAATGTTCCTTATATACCAGAGAAAAGGCAATTTAGACAATATTTCAGCAAAGAAAGTACCGAGATTCGAACCTTCAACCTTCATAGCTTGCAGCAAAGCCATTAAACCACTAGGCTATGCAGACAAGCTTAACAATATTTGGTCAGATGTATGTAATACACTTACAGTTACAGAAGTTGGAAAACATTTCAGCAAAGAATTTACGGGGATTCGAACCAAGATTTTATAAACGTCAGTCTAGCGACTGATCCACTAGGCTATGCAGACGTTCTCATACCCGCCTTTGTTTCACTTTATATACATACATAGTACATTACGGACGCGACAATTCCTCTCCCTATCTTTTTTTCTCTCCCTCTCCCTCTCTCTCGCTTTCTCTTTCCTCATCCCTTGAGCAAATTTGAGGCTTTTTCTACTGCGACTCGCAGTGTTGATCTGTCTATTTGATAAACTCCTGTCTTCGATATGTGCGTAACTAGTACCTTGGACTATTAGTATATGTATAACTAGTCCCTTACACTATAGTATAGATATGTGTATAGTCCTTTAGACTATAGTATAGATATGTTTATAGTCCCTTGGACTTTGAAGATTAATCTGTGAGGTTATGAAGTTAGTAAATAAGCGGAAGTCTCTCTCTCTCTGTCTCTGTCTCTCTCTTTCTGTCTCTGTCTCTCTCTCTCTCTCTCTCTCTCTCTCTCTCTCTCTCTCTCTCTCTCT